AAATCTTTACGGGAGCAGAAAGCCTCATCTTTCTCCTGCGGAACAGCTGGTAGTTTTAAACTGCTGACCTTGAGGTTCACAGCCCGATTCGTAACCACTATGCTACCAGAGACCAAATAAAACAGACTCAGATGAAAATGCAGGAACCCTGAACTTCAGAAGAAAGATTTGAGAATTGGACTGAATGTTTGTTGGAAGAAAAAGCTAAGCAGGGATGGCAAGACAGGGAAACTAACTGGCGAGTAGCTGGTCAGACCCAGCAAAACCATTTTGAATCTTTGTGAGTAGCTTTGGAAGAAGGTGGCCTGGCAGAGCTGAATCACACAGGCCGCTGGGAAAGTACAATTCCTTATTTTTCCCCATACTGCCCTGCTGACCAGAGGTGTGTCTGGTCCCCACCTCATCTACCCCTAGCACAGCCTCCACTCTCCGGGAGCGCGGTACCACATGGTTGGAAGTCAGGCCAATGTGAGGCAGGGGCCTGGAGTGTCTCTTTGGTGAGCCATTTTGGTGCTGGGATTCACGTGGGTCTAGTTTAAGACGTAGAGAACCTGGAGAGCCACAGCCCTACATTTACCCAGTCACCCTGCCTGCCCCCAGCTTCCCTGTGGTAGTCACCGACAATGACACTGGATCCATCCAAGGCCTCTGGGAACTGCTTTTGGACTGAGTGCCCTGAACACAGAACTCCATCCAGGGAAAGGAATTTCCATCACAAGCACTTGGTGAGATCCATGGCTTGTATGTAGGGCCCCCAGAGTTTTCTCCTCTCCAGATCCAATGGTTTTTTTGCTTTTGGGGTTTTTGTCTTTGCTTTGGGGTTTGATTTTTTCCTTTTGTTCTTTCATGGGTTTTGTTTTGCTTACTCTTTCTCCTCCTGCTTCTTCCCTTTCCATTTCCTTGAATAGTACCCTTTCTGGCTCCACTTGTTTTTCCTTATTTCCTTTTGTTTCTCATTTCCCCCATTCATCTTTTCCCGTTTTGAACTTTCTTTACAAATCTCTGCTTGCTTTCTCTTTTCATCTTCCTTCTTTTTGGTCTTTCTAAAGGTTATTTGTATTTCTTCCTTTTATTTTCTCTTCTATGCTTCATTTCCCCACCCCTCTTTTCTCTTCTTAGTTATTATATTCCTTTTTCCCGGCCTCTAACTGTTTTTAGTCCATTTTCTTCCTTTATTACTTTCTCTTTTTATTGTTGGTTACTTGCTTGTTTATTCTGTTTGCTTTCTGGTGGGTGTGAGGTGGGGTACAGAGGGAGGCTCTTCTCTTTCCCACCCAACAGAAGACAGCAACTGTGTCCACACAGCCCAGCCACAACTGTACCTGCAGCTCCAGGCACTGGGCAAGAGCCAATACCAGCTCCTATACCACCTGATCAACAACAAACAGCTGCCAACACCAAGCAAACCCCACTCAAAACTGAGGTACATGAAGAGCAAACGAGAATGGTATACACTTTCATTCTGTGACTATATCCACAGGAGACAGCTGGTGAGAACTTAGGAGCAAACCAACATATAATCATCAATTAAATACAAATATGAAAACACCACAATGTCCCAGAGACAATTTTAGTTTATACAAATCACAGGAGAGAATGGCACAAGCAAATGAACAAGATGAAGATTCAAAAAATGTCTCTGCGGAAGAAAGGTAATGGAACTGAAAAACAATTTAGGTCCCTACAAAGAAAGCAATGAGAACACAGAAATACTGCAAAAGAATTCAGGAAAACGCTACAGAAACAAACAGACAAAAATAAATGCAAATTTAAAATAATATAAAACCTGCAATTACAAATCCAGAAGATAAACACTAAGCTCTGAGAAATGGACAATACATTAAGAGGACAAAAGAGTGATTCAAAGCAACTGAAGTTCAGATTAGTGACCTTGAAGAGCAATCTCTCAATACTAGTATGCTGGACTCCTGATGTGGTGCTGTACGATCCATACTAAACTGTGAACCACAGAGTCGGCAATTCAAACCCACCAGCTGTTCCTTGAAAACCCTATACAGGGTCACTACAAGTCAGAACTGACTCGATGCACTTAACAGCAACAACTAGTATGACAGGATAATAATTCTTTAACTTGATGGAAAAACTAATCACTGACTTTACATGAAAAGGAAAGAAACCCCAGATAAGCAAAGCATTATTTAAAAAAAAAAAAAAAAAAAAAAGAACAAAATAGGAAATATCTCACTTCCCAATCTCAAAACGTACTACACAGCCACAGTAGTCTAACAGCCTGGTATTGGTACAACAAAAGACACACAGATCAATGGAACAGAATTGAGAACCAAGAAGTAAATCCATCCATCTATGGTCAGTTGATCTATGACAAAGGACCAAAATGCATTAAGTGTGGGAAGAGATACTCTTTTCATCAAACGGTGCTGGCAAACTTGGAAATACATTTGCAGAAAAATGAAACAATTTACACCATTTACAAAAATGACCACAATGAGGATTAAAGTCTTAAATGTAAAACCTAGAACTATACAGATCATCAATGAAAATATAGGGACAAACTTAAGAGCTGTACTACATGGCATAAATATACTATCAAACATAACTGAAAACACAAACAGAAGTCAAAACAGATGACTGAAATCTCCTAAAAATTAGACACCAAAAGAACAAAACGAGAACTTACAGACTGGGAAACAGTATTTGGCAATTACATATCAGACAAAGAATTACTCTTCAAAACTTATAAAACACTTCAACAAGACGATGACAAATAATTCAATTAAAAAAATGGGCAGAGGAAATGAATAGACACTTCACCAAAGAAGACACATTCAGGCAGTCAACAAACATGGAGAAATGTTCACGACAACCATTAAAAAGATGCAAATCCAAACAGTGAGATACCATCTTACTCCGGCATTAATAGCAAAGTTCCAAAAAACAAAAAACAAATGCTGGCAAGCATGTGAGATTGGGGACCTCCTATACTGCTGGTGGGTCTGTACAATGATGCAATCACTGTGGAAAACAGCCTGGCACTGTCTTAAAAAGTTGGAAACAGAAATGCTGTATGACCCAGCAATCCCCTACTTAGTATATACATACCTCAAGAAAGGTGACATGACTAAATATATGCCCATGTTCAGTGCAGCACTATTCACAACAGCAAAAAGATGGAGACAGCCTAAAGGCCCATCAACAGAAGAATGGCTAAACAAACTTTGGTACATACACACAATGGAATATTATGCAATGCTGAATTATAATGAAGAATCTGCAAAATACCTTACAACACGGGTGAACCTGGAGGATATTACACTGAGTGAAATCAGTCAATCACAAAAGAGCAAATATTGCAAGCTACCACTGTTGTAAAAAGTTAAAAAAAGATTTTCTTGCTAAATGAAACATTCTATGATAGTTACAGGGTTGGTGGGAGCATGGGAGTGGGATGAAGAAAATAAAGCGAATAGAGGTAAATACTGTTAACTGATGGTGTGTGGAGTGGACTGCAATCATGGTAATGACACAAAGTATATAATTTATTGAATGTGGGGCAGATCATCTGTTCTGTAAACCTTTACTCGATTCACAATAAATATTTTTTTAAAAGACTGCATGGAGCAATCCTACTCTGTCCTATAGGGTCACTATGAGTGGGAAGAACTTAATGGCAGGGTCTGTGGGATGCTCTTGGTGTCATAATTCAGTGTCCATAGGAAGTCAGTAAGAGGCTGGAGAATTTCACGGACATGAAAAAGCTGTAGCGGGATCTCAGGCACAGCATCAGCTTGTCTTCAGTTCTTGTTCTTGGCGGTCAGGTGCAGTGGGGCTGCCTACTGCATGCAGCTGGACAGTGAGATAAGACAATCTTCATCTCCGCTATCAATTTCATGCAATTCTAGGCAAATTCCTTACTTTGGAATATGGAAAACATTCTTTCCCAAGTACACATGATCCAGTCTATCAAACACATAGTGCTGCTGTTGCTTTGAACCACTGAGTCATTTCCAACTCGTGGTGACGCTGCATAGGGTTTCCTAGGATGTAAATCTTTATGGAAGCAGAAAGCCTCATCTTTCTCCCATGCAATGGTGACGGATTCAAACCACTGACCTTGTGATTAGCAGTCCAATGCATATTTAATGAAAGATCAGAGAAGAAGAAAATATAAAGCAAGTGAAAGGTACAAGTCTCATAAACTGGCACTAAGAGCATTGAAGTAAGTATTTTCATTGACTTAGAGCTATTAATGGAAGGACATACTGATTTCAACCCCTGAAAAAAGGACTATTTCAATGGAACCACAGTGACTACAGATTAAAACTGGAAACGAAATATAGCTATTATAATGATAACATTGTATAAGGAAGCTTAGCCATAAAAGACAAAACCACATAGTTTACTTTAGACAGTATGCAATCTGTGACTTCACAATTCCACACATAAAATACATTTTCATAATTATGCTGTCTTAATCTGACTTTTCATAGTTTTAGTCAACAAACAATTGTTTGGAATGCTGAGCCGCTTGCTCCCAGCGTTCAGTTCAATACCTTCTATCTGCGGTACTTCACCATGCAGCTTGGCTTTGCTTGCGAAAGGAGCATTCTGCAGCACCAGTGCAAAGAGAGAAGGGATCAAAGACTGCAAGGCAGAAAGGTACATGTGGAGCTTATGTTCATCCAGCCCGTGCTCTCCTTCCTGAAACACAAGGCGGACAAAGCCCATTTTAGTCTCTTGAAATAATACTGCTAACTTCTATGAGGCTCTTCCTTTTTGTGGCAAAGGATACAGCACTGAAGGACCTGAGAATTGGACTCACAGCTTAATAGCTAATGTCCAAAAATCTTGTCTGAGTTTCTCCAAGTATGTGAAACTGTGAAGAAGCACTAAGGCAGCACAGAAGGAACAGACCCTCCACATGGAAACTTCAAGGGGAACAGCAGTCATTTCCACTTGTATGTAGCATCGTTTACAAGTTGGTCCTTTTTTTTTCTTTTGAGAGGTTCTTATTTATGAAATTTTGTAAATCAAGTTAAGATGCTAATATGAGCCACAGAAATCATAAATGCTCAACTGTTAAATCAACACTGTCTGGTCTACTTCCTCTCTCTATATGTATTTGGCAGCATTCAAAGCACTTTGAACTAATTCACGGCATAGATAAAATATAAGTTTCAAAAGAAAGAGATAGAGAACCAAGAAGAAAAAAGATCAGTACAATACACAGAAACTCAGTATTGATGTGAAAAATCATTAGAGAATCACTAGAGAGGAAGGCATTCATTGCTGTTCCAATCTACTTGAGATGTCATTACTGCATCATCAAATAACTGTGTCGTGATATCACAGATGAGAGTTACGCACTATCAAGTTCTAACTTAATTGCTTTATGAAAGAATTACTGTCTATGCTGAATACTGCAGATACATTTAGCAGTAATGTGGAATTTGCCACAATATGATACAGATCTAGAATACCAAGTATGCAAACACTTTAAAAGGCTGTGTCACCCTCATGACTGGAGGTAAGTTTGAGTCCACTGTTAGCACTACTGTGTTCATTCACGTTATTGAGGGTTTTCCTCATGCTCACTGAGCCTCTACTTTACCAAGCATGATGTCATTTATTGGCCATCTGTCTTTCTTGATGACATGTCCAAAGTGAGTGAGTACAAAGGGATACTTCCATGGAGGTACCTATATTTTTAAAGTGTTCATTTTGAAATTTATGGAACACCCTAATTTTTACATGGAATAAATACATGTGGGTACATATGAGACCATCTATAAAGCAGTTACAATGCTTTACATAAAAGCCTTAAAGAAGCCTTTTAAATTTTGGAGTAGAAAAGGTAAGAGTTGGGGGTCAGAGACTTTTATCAGATCCCAGTTCTGTCATCTGCCAGCAGTAGCTCCTGGGCAGTTACTTATTCACTGTGTCTTAGAATGTAGTGAAAAGGTTCAGGATATTTACATACACAGTCTACTTTAATGCACACAGTAGGAATGAAAGGAATGGTAATGTCTCTGGTAGAGTCCAAAAAGGAACTTTTAGTACAAAAATCAAATCAAGATGTTTCTATCATTTCTTCCATTCCTCTTCAATTTTTAAAGTTGCAAGTAATGAAAAATTAATTTTAAAAAGTGAAGACGTACTTAAATTGGACGCTTAGATATGATTAATGTAACTTTTAAATATATCTTTTATGTATGTTTTACCACAATTATTAAAAAAGAAAGAACTTTCAAGTGAAATAAAAATTGAGGGAATAAAAATATTACAGTGAAATAAACACAGTTAAAGCAATTTTGACATCTTAAAAGAAAGCTTTAGAAAGACATATTTTAGTGATCTCTGTTTTGAGAACTAGAGCGAATAATTTAAACAAAACACTTTGTCAAGGAAGAATCTGACTTTCTGAATAATGTATGAGTTAATTCCATGAGGTGTGAATTCGCTAAGAAACCCACACTGTACTGTCTTCCAAGCTTCACCAAAGTAAACGTTCTCAAATCTCCCTCTGAGTCAAGCCTGACAAAATCGTTAACTGGCAATTTATTACAATGGTCACTTAAGTAGTACTTTCTGACCTTGGCTCCCAACTGTCTTCTACCATAACTTAGAAAAGACCGTCACAACTTCTAAGAATTATGTAAATAAAGGAAAGACCTACCCTGAGAAGTTTTTCCATCTTATTCAGCAGCGTAGGCAACAGATGAGACTGCAGATTCCCAAGTTCTGTGGTCCAGGCAGCATAGGCAGGTAGAAACACTTGATGCGTAGCACTAACTACTCTTTCTGAGGGGTCACCCAGAGCCGAGAGCAACAATTCAAAACCCTGACAAGGGATCAGGCAAAAGGCAAATTTTTAAAAGAATAAATTTTTTCAAAGTTTGCATTTCATAAGGAAATGAACCCTGCTGGTGTGGTGTTTACGTGTCGGGCTACACACTGACAGGTTGGTGTTTGGAACTCACCAGCTGTTTTGGGGAAGACAGACGCAACAGTCTGCTCTGTCAAGATATATAGGCTTGGAAACCCTATGGGGTGGTTTTAGCATGAGTACCCAACTGCCACCTATAAAGTTGCTGGTTCAAACCCACCAACTGCTCCTACGAAATCCTATATAGGGTTGTTATGAGTTGGAAGCGACTCAATAGCACTTAAAAACAACACAGGGTCCCTAAGTCAAACTAGGAGTTTGAATCAACTCAATTGGCAATGAGTTTGGTTTCTCTGGTTTTGTGATTAATAAATACATAATGCAATAAACTTAGGAAATATAGCAAAGCAAGAAAGCAAGCCGTCTATAATCCTACCCTTCCTAGTTTCTTTAAAGAAAATGTTATATACTTTTGATGAGCACACCAAAAAGGAGTCTTAAGGAAGGTATATGTGTTGTATTGTGCAATAGTGATCACTGGTTCATTTCACAAGACCTTCCTCTAATCCGTCTTAGTCAGTAAGCTCAGCTGGAACCTGTTCAGCATCATCCCACACCAGCCTCCACTGACAGACAGTTGGTGGCTGCACACGAGGGGCCCTGACTGGGAAGCCAAACAGAGACCCCTACCTGGAAGATCAGAATTCCAGGGGATCACCCATGTCTCCCACAAACATGGTATGTTTGCTGCCAATTTTCTGGCACATGGCTGTGACAAATACCTTAAATGAATCATAATATTCTTTTCTATGAATTGCAGAACAGAAACCAGGAACCATCTCCAAGTGACTGAAGTTGGCATACTTGCCATCCCGACTATAGATATACGGTATCTAAATCTGAGATTGGGAACAAGCTAATTTTATAATGGGGTAAAAGGGTTTAAGCTGAAAAACATACCTGCTGATATTTGTCTGAATCATCAATGTATCCCATTATGATCCCGAGGCTTTTGATCACAGCTTCCCGTACCAAATCTGCCTTATCTTCCATCAACATCTGCTGCAACATGGAAAGAACCAAGGAGCTTCGAATTTCTTTCTGAAAATAAACAAAAATGTGTTTTAAAATTTATTTACACTACTAGCTTCAAAGTATAGAAAATTATGCTCACAAATTCATAATCCAGATGAAAAAACATTATCATTTTGCCATGTTTGCTTTCTGTCTTGACTTCTCAAAGAAATAAAATCTAACAGACACAGCTAACCCCTCCTTCATTTTCTCTCTAGATGTCACAACATCTACCTTGAGTTTGTATTACTCTCCTGGATTATTTTAATATTTTAATAAATATATACAAATTCCCAGAATTCAGAGTACATACTTGCAGCACGCACATTGGTAAACTAGCAAGGCTATCAGTTTGCTGGAAATGAACAGTAACTCTTCTGTTACTACCTGCTCAACTCGGAGAAAAGGATTCAGGGGTGAGAACAGGAGGTTTGTTCAGATGTGACAAGAGTATTATAAAAGTCACTCTGGCAATCATTTAGCAGAGTAATACTGACCTGCATGTAGGGCACAGAATATATAAAGCATCAGTGTTCCTATTTTTTGAATAAGTGAGAGAGAAACTCCGAACAGGATGAGAAAATATGACAGGAAGCTTGAAAAGCACTTCGCTACTGCTGTGCCTTAATGTCAGTTTCCCCCAGAGTACTGCTAATGAATGTTTGTCAGCCTTACTAATGGCTGAGATAAGAATATAGACTTATCATATATAATTGCATTCCCTTCCTATCCAGTCTGTATGACATGATCAGTTTATATCTTACATACATGAATTAGAACGAAATAGAAACAGAGGTGTTCCTTCTTATCAACATACAGAATGATCCGGCATACCCAGTGAGACCTGACAGTTTTTCTTTCCCATTCAACAAATCATACATTTCATCATCTCAGAGACTGCAACCGCCTTTATCCAACATCATTTATCCCACTTCCTCCCTGTGGTTCTGATTTTCATTCCATGCTCCTTCCCAACCCCTCTGAACTTTGTTCTTAGGTAAATGCTGCCTTTTCTTTATCTTGAATGGCTGACCATTCCACGGTGAGCAAATCTTATAGTGTTGTTGTCCCACCTATATATTTATCTACCACTTGGCTGAAAATTGAGCCTCGAGGTTGAGTTCAGTTCCAGCCCTAACAGGTGATCCAGGGCCATAGTCTTTTTCTGGTCAGGAAGCCTAGTCTTTTTTATGATTTTGTGTTTTGTTCTACATTTTCTCCCATTCTAACCAGGACCTTCTAACGTGAGGCCTTTCAGAACAGTTGGCAGTGGTAGCCGAGCACCACCCAGTCCTTCTGCTCTCAGGGTCAAAGAGACTGATGGTCATGTGTTCCATTAGTCCCCTGGACTCACTGACTGCAAGCCTGCCAATTTTCATTACTCTACTTTAATCCGCACAGGGAGAGAATAACAGATGCACCTAAGATGCTGCTCATGAGATGTTAAGATATCCAGAAGCTATTCACCAAAGTACAATGTTCAACATTGTGGACAGACACTTTTTAAACACCTGGTTTTTGTTCTGACTTTTTAGGAACAAAAATATATGTCACTAGCAATTCTGCATGCATTTAGGTTGCAAATAGGCCATTTCTGTATAAAGCCCCTTATTTATCCTTTTAACGTTAATATATGACCTGATAAAAGAAAGTCCCCCAAGCAATATGACAGAGGTAAAGCAGAACTAGTTGTTCCCAGCTCAGTCAAGGCTGATGAAGTGAAACTGGAACGGATATAAATTTGTAAAATGGGGGTGAATTTGAACAGCAACTGAACAGGAAAAACTATAGGCCAATAACCTGCTAGGAAATGAATCGCCTTTTTAAAAAACCACCTCTGGGACTTCCTGCGCTTCCCTGACCAGGCAGCACAGGTAAGCGGGCTCCGGAGAATATGGAGGAGGTATTGCATAGGGAGGCCCTGGCCTGGTAGACAGACAGCCTTGGGGCAAACATAAAACATTAGGCCTTAACATTATGACCTTGCTTTTTTAAAAAATCAAACTGCTGAGGAGTTACAAGCATTTAGAGCCTCTACCTGCCTGCACTTAGTTCCCACCCCGGGGACTGCCCCGCCCATTGCAGAGCATGAAGCTCAGGGCTTGAGCAGAGCCGTTCAGAGGGCGGACATTTCCGGAGAGCTAGCGGGGCCACAGGAACTAGTGTGATCCATCCTGGGGGCGCCTCATTGCCACGTTGGGCATTGTCAGCGTGGATATAGGGCAAATTGGGGTGCTCACGGCACAGGGAGACAGAGAGAGGCATTGTAGACGTCATCAGACAGGGCTGCGCCATTTGCCTGCCCCCGCCCTCAGTTTTGCCCTCAGCTTTTTCGGCCTAGGCCAGCCCTCTGCCCATTCTCCGAGCCTCAGGCCCACCCATCAAGGCGCAGGCCAGCCTAAGCTGAGATGTCAATAACAAAGCAGTCCTTCTGTGATTCTGTGGGTTAATGTGCCAGACTGCAAAGCCTTTCGAACTGCAAGGAATGTGACTCGAGCTCACTAGCTGCCCCTTGAAAACCCTATACTAGGTCGCTGTGGGTCATGATTAACTCCACAGCTTACCAACAAGGAAAAGAGCTCAGAAGGGGCTGAAAAAGAGTTAGGTTACTAAAGACTTACTTACATTAAGCCACGCTTTTTTCCTCTTTCTTCTGCCCCTCCCCCAACCTGTGTGTGTGTGTGTGTGTGTGTGTGTGTGTGTGTGAGATTAGAGCCTGCCTTATTCAAGAGCACAGGCCAGACCAAATTGAGACACCCTTGAGTAGTTGTTTACCACCAATAACAAAGCAGTTCTGCTGAGGCTGACTGCAAAGCCTTTTGAACTGCAAGGACTGAGGTTCGAGCCCACCAGCTGCCCCTTGGAAACCCTATACTGGATCGCTGTGGGTCACGATTAACTCCATAGCATACCAACAAGGAAAAGAGCTCAGAAGGGACTGAAAGACAGATAGGGCACTAAAGACTTACTTACATTAAACCACGCTTTTTTCCTCTCTTTCTTCTGCACCCCTCTTTTTTTTTTGTGATTAGAGCCTGCCTTATTCAAGAGCACAGGCCAGCCCAAATTGAGACACCCTTGAGTAGTTGTTTACCACCAATAACAAAGCAGTCCTGCTGAGGCTGACTGCAAAACCTTTTGAACTGCAAGGACTGTGGGTAGAGCCCACCAGCAGCCCCTTGGAAACCCTATACTGGGTCGCTGTGGGTCACGATCAACTCCATAGCATATCAACAAGGAAAAGAACTCAGAAGGGGCTGAAAGAGAGGTAGCATTAAAGACTTACTTACATTAAGCTACGCTTTTTTTTCCCTCTCTTTCTTCAGCCCCTCCCCCCCTTTTTTTCTTTTCCCCATCTTTTTTTTATGTTTTGTTGTTGTTGTGTTGCTTTTTTTTTTTGCTTTTGGTTTTGTTTTCTACCCGACTGGTGTTGCTTGGCTGTCACATAGCCTACCTTCTGCAATCGGAGGACTCCACTTTTGTTTTTGATTTCAATTTTGGTTTTGGATTCTACACAACTGGTGTTGTTTGGCCATAACATAGCCTCCCTTCTGCTATTGGAGGACTCTTTGTCCCCCTACATTACACGAAAAGAGTCAGCAACTGCTGCCAAATAGCCAAGCTGCAATAACACTTTATAAAACAAAATCCAGACAAGAACCAATACCAGCTGCCACAAACCAGGGAAACAGGGAACACGTGTAAAAGTTACTCTGAGTTAAGCAGTAAGAGGAGTTAAAAGGGAAGACCACAGCCTGATCAAATCTTCCTGGAGGCAATCAGAAAACATAAAAAATTACCAAAATACATACTTAATTAGTTATTAGGGCCACAGATAAACATTAAACATGTCCAAGAAGCAAAAGCAGATGACCGTATCGACACATGTCCAGAAAAAAAATAAAACATCTGAGACAAGTGAACCAGAAGTAGACCTTCTCTCCATGCTGGAAGGAGGGCAGGCCTTGGAAATACCTGAAAAAGAATTCAGCAAAAATGATTATAAAATGTTTCAAAACACTTTACAATGGAGTTGAGAAAAATAAGTTAGAAGTCAGAAAAGTGCTACAGGAACAATCGAACAAGATAGATGCAGCATTGGTAACAATCCAAAACCTACAGAAAGAGGTCCAAACAATCAACAACAAAATTGCAGAAATAGAAAACTCTCTGAAAGGGCAGAGGAGTAGAATGGATGAAATGGAAGGAAGAATCAGTGAGCTAGAAGACAAGTCTCTCAATACCACTAAGAGAGAAGAACAAACACAAAAAAGGGTAAAAAATTCAGAGGAAGGACTACGATTCATGTTGGACAACATGAAGAGGAATAACCTAAGAATTATTGGCATTCCAGAACAAAATGAGTCACACAAGTCCACAGAGGAAATAGTCGAAGAACTACTGGAAGAAAATTTCTCTAACATCCTCAAGGGCGAAAAGATAGACATACAAGAAGCCCAACGAAGTCCAGGAAGGGTGGAGCCCAAAAGAAAATCACCAAGACATATCATAGTCAAACTCTCCAAACTCAAAGACAAAGACACGCTCCTGAAAGAAGCAAGAGAAAACAGAGGGGTCACATACAAAAGCAAACAAGTCAGACTTAGCTCAGACCTCTCAGCAGGAACCATGCAGGC